GCCTGAGCTCTGTCCCTGAGCTCTTTCGCTCAAAGCTAATGCTCTACCAGGTTGAGCCACAGCAGCACTTCCTGTCCTTTCTTATTTTGGATTGTGGATGCCGCCTGGCTGGATGGCACCTTTGACTGAAAGGCTGAGAAAGGCTGAGGACACATTCAAAAAGTCCTAAAGAAACAGTGAGAAGGCCCGAGCTTTGACCTTAAGAAAGCAAGACACCATTGCTCGGGTTCCTTTCTGAAGTCTGCATTTCCAGCTTCCAGCACAGGAAAGAAAGAAGTCAGACGTTCAGGATGGGAGCTTTGTCCATGGGGAAAAGCTGCCCTCTGGCTGCCCACGCTGCCAATCAGAACTTGAGTAGGACAGGTGTGACTTCGATTGCAGGTGAGGTGCAGATCCTCTAGGGACCTCCTGTAGGTCATGCTGACTCAGGAGCTCCTTCAGTTCTGCACGAGTAGATTCCACCATCCACATGAGGCTGAAAGAGCAAGGTGTTTGGTATTAGAGTGAAATCCTCGGCAAGCTCATCAGACATTGACTGTTCATAGCTTGCCAGGGACTCTGCGTCTTTCTGCACTGTTCCAAATTCTCCTTGTTCACTTGCTCTTTACTTCTCATGCAGACTCCAAGAATGACACGACCTTGGGTCAGAAGATAAAGTCCTGGGAATCATCAAGAAAGGGTCATTCCTTCCTAAGCAATTTACACCTGAGGAATGGAGAGCTGATCATCCACAAAGCAGGCCTCTATTACATCTATTCCCAAGTGTACTTCCGATTTCAAGAACTGGAAGAATCTCCCAAAACAGGTTCTAGAAAGAGAGTCAAACAAATGGTTCAATATATTTACAAGAACACAAGCTACCCTGACCCGATCTTGCTGATGAAAAGTGCTAGAAATAGTTGCTGGGCCAAAGATTCTGAATACGGACTCTATTCTATCTATCAAGGGGGAGTATTTGAACTTAAGGAAAATGACCGGATTTTTGTCTCTGTGACTAATGAAAGTTTGATTGACTTGGACCAAGAAGCTAGTTATTTTGGAGTGTTTTTAGTTGGATAAATGACCTGTACAAGTAAAAGAAAAGACAAAAACAACAATAACAACAGCAACAAAAACAACAACAAAAACAAGCCTGGTGCTAGTGGCTCATACCACTAACCCTAGCTCAGGAGGCTAAGATCTAAGAATTGCAGTTCAAAGCCAGCCCAGATAGAAAAGACTGGGAAACTCTTCTCTCCAATAATCCAGCAAAAGGCCAGAAGTGATGGTATGGCTCAAGTGGTAGAACACCATCCTTGAGCAAAAATGCTAAGGGACAATGCCTAGGCCCAGAGTCCAATGAGACTGTGGGGGGCAAAGGTACCCCAGTTCCAACAGCAAAACAAAAAAAAATAAACTAAAACAACCAACACCTTCAAAATGATCATTCATCTGTTGAGATATTAGGCTATGGAAATGTTATAATAATTCTCACAAAGAAAGACAATCGGAATACAACATCCCTAACCAAGAAATCAGATCAGATGTAGTGACGGTTGTCTTTAAGATGGATGTGAACCATGAGGTTTCAACTTCACTCACCAGCCTCGCCAGACATTCTCTTTGGAGATGGTGGACACTTTCGGAGGGGCCTGACCGGAAATAGGTCATGTCTTGTAAAGCTAGACCTGCTCCTCAGTTCTGTCCTCTCCCTCTGATATCCAGCACCCTGATTTTCTACCTCACTTTGGGCAAAGAATCAAATGAGCCAAGACTAAGGATCCAAAAAACCAAAAATCTCCGAGAATCTGAGCTAATGTAAATAATTCTCCTATGCAAGTTGTTCTCTCAGGTATTTTTTTTAAACCATGGAAAGTTATGACACTTGAATTGGATGGAAATCAGCAAATGCCACTAAAGATAGTGTTGTAATATCTGAGTTGCTGTTCACTGGCAGAAAGTTCCTCTTATTGTCTAGCCTCAGGCCTTCCTGCTGTTGGGAATTTACTCTCTCCCCTGAAGCCCCTTTTCCCTGGGAAAAGAATATCCATGGGAACAAAAATGTGAAATCAGAAAACAGAACAAAATTATTGATGAAGGACAAAACCTCTTGGTAAAGAAAAACCCCCAGACAAAGGCTGACAAGTGGTGAGCCTTTGCCCCTTCTCCAGCCTTGCTAAAAAGCAAAAGAACATCTCACTCAAGTTTACCAAGCTGGCAGCTTTGCAGAAGGCTACTGACCACCTTGAGGCTTAACACCAGCTGCACTGAGTGGCTGTATTAGTCAGGAGCTTATAATAAAATCATTTCTGTAATAGTGTCAATAGCACTGATAGTATGATCATGCTGACCAAGTCAAGCTTATGTCCTGCCTATGCTCCTGTGACTCGAGGCTATGTTTCTGCTATATTTTGCTGCTGTAACCTTGCTGGCTTGCCTCAGTAGCAAGGCCTTGAGCCCACAAGTGACATCACCCCTGTCCTCCAATCGAAGATCACCATTGAGTGGTCTCACTGTGGGTGGCCTATTGCAAATGATCACGTATGATATTTACCATAAAGAACAAATGAATTTAAAGGTCATATAACCATAACTGATGAAAATGTGCCATTCTGCCTTGCATGGCTCGGCTATGTAACTCCATGTAACCTACCTCTATAAAAACCCATCCTACCCTGAGCTCGGGGCCATTCTACTTTCCTGGTAGGAGGAAGTGGACCTTGTGCAGCTGTAATAAAGTTCCCAGCTCCTTTAACTGGGTGTTTCTGAGTCTCTTTTGGATCTGGGATATAATAATTGTCACTGCATCCAAGTGAAGGTTTGTGAAGTTTCCCTCTGAAAGTTGGGACTCTTCACTTAGGGTCCTTGAGTTTGATTGCAGAAGAAGAAGAAATGGCCATTACTTTTCAATAAAATAACATGGTAGTAAAACGTTACATGCTTGTGTTTGTGTGGTTCACACTACTACAATGTGAAAAGGGTTTCTAATCTTACTTTCAATGTACACCTTATAGAAGGAAGAGAGAAACTGCCATTTATATCAGCATATATTAGCTTGTACAAAGTAAGGGCTTTCATCATATTTCCATACAAGTGTATAATGGACTTATTCATATCTTATTAATATCTTCTTTTCTTTCTTTCTTTCAGTCTCTGTCTTCCCCCTTTCTCTTCCTCCCTCCCTCCTGCCTTCCTTCCTTCCTTCCTTCCCTCCTTTCCTTTCTTCCCTCCCTCCCTTTCTCCCTTTCTCCCTCTCCCTCTCTCTCTGTAGTGAATATTATGAAATACTGACATAGTGTGTGTTGTTGAATACTGACACAGTATGTACTGACATAGAGTGTTATTAACTATTGACATGATAGTGAATATTGAACTATTAAATAAAAATACGTTGCATGTATGTATGTGTGCTGTGAAATAATATGAAATGTTAAGCTGTAAAATGAGGAGTTAGAAGTTAGAAGTTAGAACTAAGGAATGGGTAGATAAGAACACACCCAGAAAGCCTGCAGAGCCACCACCAACGCAACCAGCCCTCATCCATAACCAGAGTCAGCCAGAGACAAGCCAGCTCCGCCCTCATCCATAACCAGACCTGACCAGAAGCTAAGCTGTCACCAAGACAGCCCTGGTAATCAGACATGGCCAGAAAGGAAGGGCCAGCCTAAAGCATATAAAAACCCAGGGCAGCAGAGACACAGCAAGAGGGCCTCCCCAGGAGGTGACCACGTGGTACCGTCCCTCCTCTGGATCCGCCCTGGCAAGGCAGCCGCATCTCCCTCCCTCCATCTCCCCACGACCTCCACATGAGCTTCCCTGGGTGTGGGGCATGCTTAGTAGGCTAGGCCTAGGAGTCCACTATTGGTATGGCTGGTATTTGAAGTGCTTAAATCAATTGAGTGAAGTCTAAGAGTGTTGCTATTGATATGCAAACTCGGCACATACTCTCTCTCCTTTCTGCCAGTATTAAGCTTTAACTCAGGCCCTATCATTCTTGCTTAGCTTTTCTGCTCAAGGCTGGTACTCTACCACTTCAGCTATGCCTCTCTGTGTGACTTTTCGCTGGTAAATGGGAGATAACAGTTTCTCAGGTTTGTCTTCTCAAGCTGGCTTCAAAAAGTGATTCTGCTACATCCTTGTAGGTCATTCCTGCAATTCTAGTTACCTGGGAGGCTGAGATCTGAGAGTCGTGGTTGAAAACCACCAAAATGTTGAAAATGGAGCTGTGTCAAGTGGTAGAGCATTAGCCTTTAGTAAAAAAAGCTCTTGGACAGTGCCCAGGCCCTGAATTCAAGCCCCACAACCAGAAAACAAACAAACAACAGCAACAACGAATGGTGTTTCTTAGATCTCATTCTCCTGTGCACAAAGGATCGCAGGCCTAAGCCACAAGTGCTTGGCTCTTGTTGACTCATTTGTGTTTGGGACTGCTGTTTGAATTCAAGGTCTAGCTTTCATTAGGCAAGCACTCTACTAGCGAGGCGCAAAGCCCTCCCCTTCAGTTTTCACAGCCTTAGTTGCATTGTTTTGGTTTATGTTATTTCTCCCTGGCTTCCATAAATGAGAGGAAGCATGTGATACCTGCCTTTCTAAGTCTCGCTCATTTCACTTCACATGATGATCTCTAGTTCCTTCTATCCATTTTCCCCAAAAAAGCACAATCTCATTCCTCTTCAATGGCTGAAAATTTCCCTCCAGTTTTAACTTTCTAAAAATATTTCAACATCAATTAATTGCAGAGAGAAGCTTCATTAGGGTATTTGCAACATGCATATTAAGTATTACCCTTTCTTAATCCTTCTCCTCACTCATTTTGAACAGTTTTTGGCTAGTTTCACTATTTTCATACATATACATATTTTCATACATACATTTTATATATGCTGTTTTCAAACATAGACATAATGTACTCCTATACTATTCATCTCTGTCAACCTTTCCTTTGTTGCTGTTCCCATTCCTGTTCCTCTCCCAAGCAGCCCCCAAGCCCACCTAGTTTTAGAAGAATACTGAGATTTGAACTCTAAGCCTCTTATTTGCTAGGCAGGTACTCTTAAGTCTGAGCCACACCTTCAGACCTATTTTTGAGATAAGGTCTCATTTTCTGCCCAGACAGTGACTGAGCATGAGCTACCTATGTTAGGCATCCTGTGATAGCTGTATGACAGGTATGCACCAGGGTGTCCAAATTTTATCCTCCAGAATAGCTAGGATTACAGGCGTGAGCCACCAGCACCCAGCTCAAGCAGTCTCCCATTCACAGTCATGCCATACACATGTGTGTGCACAGGTGTGCATGTACGTGTGTGTACCTACACAGATGTATATTTTATGCATAGATTCTGAAGATGAGGCACAAACATACAATCATTTAACACCCCTGGTTTCAGCTGTTTTCCTTCAAACAACATAACTCCATTCTTCTTTATGACTGAATCATGTTCCATTACACACACACACACACACACACACACACACATACACACACACACACACACACGCGCATATATGTATACTATGGTTTCTTTATCCAATCATCGCTTGTCAATAGCATAGCGCTATTGTAAACAGAGTTGCTGTGCAGGTATCTCTCTTGTGTGCTGACTTAAGAGTCCTTTGGATATATTCCCAAGAGTGGTACAGCAGGGTCAAATACAGGATCTGGTTTTTGGTTTCTTGAGGAACCTCCATACTGACTTCCATAGCAGGTGGACTAATTTACATTCCTACCCTCAGTGTATAAAGGTCCTTTCCCTTCCAGCCTCTCTCAGCATTTGTTCTTGTTCATTTTCTTGATTACGACCATTCTGACTGGCATCAGATGGAATCTTCACATGTTGAAGTGTGTTTCCTTTATGGTTAAGGATGTTGAATATTTCATGCATTTATTGAGTCGATTGTTTCTTATTATGTTCAGTGTATCAATTCTTTCTTTCATGGTTAATGCTGGGAATTGTGTTCCCAGAAAGATACAATGAAGCCTTACTCCCTGTACCTCACAGATCAGAACCTTATTTGTAAGTATTCTCGTTACAAATATAACTAGTTAGGATAGAATTGGATATTAATACAGAAGGACCAGTGTCCCCACTAAAAGAAGGA